TCTTCTCTTCTTCTTCATTTCTCTCCTTTCATGATCCTGTTTTTGTCCTTTTTTCTCTTTAACAATTGTTCTTATTTTTATAAGAGAGTGAATAAAGTTTATAATTTTCTTGTCTCTGTTAATTTCTTTTGTTCCTTCATTCTCTCTTTTCCTCCTGTCTTCATCAGTTTCCCAAAGTTTGCATGATCTTCTGTATTCTCTAGCCCTATTTCTAACCTCTACCACTTCACCTATTACCCCCTCCCAACTTTTTCTAAGTTTTCATCCTGGAGGGTAAATCTGCTTTATTTCAGGTCTTACTTACTGCAAACATATCTCTAGTTGGTTCTTGATTTTGATATATAACTGAAAGTCTACTTTGTGTGGTTAAATGTTACAGATCAATAGTTACCACAATTTGTCATTTTCTAAGCTGTGTTTAATGTTATTGTTGATCCTGATTGTATTACTTTGGCCAAGGTGATGTGATTGCTCTAGTCAGTTGTCCTTCCTGGTATATCAAGACTGAGATTTCCTAAGTGACATTACAGACTCAAAACCCAAAGGCCAACTATACCTTGAAGACACCTCTGAGAAGTAGCCATTCCCTAAGAGTTCTAAATAGTAACAATAAAGATACTCACAATAAGTAATGTACAACCAGAAAACCAGGAATTAAACCAAAAACATCATCAACAACAAAAATAGAAATGAGAAGATACCTAAACAGGAACAAACCCAGATTTCCAGCTCACCAAAGGCAAATACAGAGGCTAAAAAGATGGAACAATCTGAAACTCAACCACCTGCATTTCCTGAACTGGTAACAAAGGAAGTACCAAACAGATGAAAAAGACTCTGGAAAAAATGAAATCAGAAATAATTTCTTAGATAACAACAGAGATGGTAACCACAATGAAAGACATGATTAATATCTCTAGAGCAGACACAGATTAAAAAATAGAGGCACTCAGGAGCATGATGGAAACAATGAAAACCTAGCATTGGAAAGAAATGGAATCCATGAAACAGATTCAAAGAAATATCCAGGAGATTAAAAACTCCATTGAATGTATATGCAGCAGAATGAGCCAATGTGAGGATAGAATACCAGATATAGATGACAGTCAGTGACCATGAAAATAGAGATTTCTTAAAAATAGCAAGGGAGAAATCAATGTAGCAGCTGCTAGATCATGGAAACAAGAATAACATAAGGCTGATCAAAGTCAATGAAAAAGGAGGAGATAGTACAAATGACATAAAAAACTGTTCAAAGAAGTAATAATGGCAGAAAATTTCCCAAGCAGTGAAAAAGAATTTGACATACAGATAAATGAGGCATATAGAAATACAAGTAGCCATGATCAAAAAAAATTTATACCAAGCCACATAATAATCAAGATTCTAGAAATCCAACACAAGAACAAAATATTAAAAGCAGTTAGAGAAGAGAAACAAACCACATACAAAGGAAAGCCCATCAGAATTACAGCAAATTTCTCAACACAAACTCTCAACTCAAGGAGAGCCTGAAGTGAAATATTTCAAGCCCTAAAGGAAAACAACCTCCAGTCAAAATTGATGTGTCCTGAGAAACTATCTTTAAAAATCAATGGAGAGAGAAAAAAAAGAGAAAAAAATCAATGGAGAAATAAAATACTTTGATGACAAAGAACACCTGAAAAATTCATGAATACCAAGCCAGAACTCAAAAAATTCTAAACAATATCATGAGGGCCACAACTCTATGAAGCCCAACAAAATGAGTTCATCAGGCAGGGCAAGACATTAAATTGAAAAGGGAAAAAATAAAAAAATTAAAAATTAAACAGCCAAAAACTGGAAAATATGACAAAGATAAGTAAATACATATCAGTTATAACCATCAATATCAATGGCCTCATTTCACCGATCAAAATAAATAGACTGGCAGAATGAATCAAGAAGCAAGACCCAACAATATGCTGCATACAAGAAACACACTAAATGAAAAAAGAAATTCACAGACTGAAAAGCAAAGGGTGCAAAACAAAACTCCATGTAACAGAAACCTGGAAAAGAGCAGGGGAAGCTATCCTATTTGTATACAAGGTGGGTGTCAAACCAAGACCAATTAAGAGAAACAAAACCACTACATCCTTCTAAAGGGAACAATCCAAGTGGAAGAAATTACAATCATAAATATATACACAACAAATACTAGTGAATCTAACTACAAAAAACCCCAATATTAATGAACATGAAAAATGAAATAAGCACTAATACTATAATATTGGGGGACCTCAATACCTCACAGTCACAAAGAGACAGATCAACTAGACAAAAAAAAATCAACAATGAAATACTAGAACTGAACCAAATTCTTGAAAAAAAATGGACTTAATACATGTCACAAATTGTTCAACCCCACAAAATCAGAAAACACATTCTTTTCTGCTGCACATGGGTTGTTCTCCAAAATAGACCATATATTAGCTCATAAAACCTGTTTAAGTAAATGCAATGGAATTGAATTTATACCCTGTATATTGCCAGATCTTAGTGCAATGAAATTGGACATCAATAGCAAAGGAAACCAAAAGAATTTCACAAAGACATGGAAACTGTATAACACCCTCCTGAACAACCAATGGCTCATAGAGAAAATTAAAGAAGAAATTAGAAGGCTGCCTCTGTATGAAACTCTGCATGGAACTTTTAAATGGATTTTTTTTCTTATTCTTTTCTATGTCTGGCATTCATGTTTTGTATCTCTTTCTTTAGCTCCATTGGATTTTTATTAGTGTCTTCTCTTGACTTGCTGATCATTCATTTCATTATGGTCATTTTCTGTTTAGTTATATATTCTTTGAATTCACCAAGTACATCTTTGAACTAATGTATATATTTTCCTCAGTTGATACACTTTTAGACTTTTCTGCTATATAGCTTGTGTTTTTCCTCTCTCTTGATGCCCCCTCTTTGATTTTGAGGGAATTGGGAGTTTCTTTTTCTTTCTTTTTTTTTTTTTTTGAGGAATTTTACTGAATCATCTTCTCATATTTTTATATGTTTATTTTCTGTGCTGGAGTTTTCTACTTCTTTGGCCCAGTTCTTTAGGAATGCGACACAGTATTGTTTATAACCCTCAATCCATATATCAGAATATACATAAAAGCAATTGACAGCAACAACAATTCCACCTTGGCTACAGTAGTGTAGTAAGCAAAAACAATAGCATCAAATATAAACTAGATATTGACAGACCCTAAGAACCACACATGAACCACACTTAACCGAAACAAATAGGTTCGTGATTTTAGTATAGTCACTTAGGCAACCCAGATATTGCCTTATAGTACTCCATATGAGACCACTAGTTTCTGCTGGATATAGACAGCAGTACCAGAGCTCAAGCAGATCTTTGGACTAAATGCCATCTTTTGCAAATTCTTTTTCCATGTGTGGAAAATTTTCTATTATTTTTATAAAAATATTTTTATGTCCCTTGTGCTTTCAATTTTTCATTAATTCCAGTTTCTCTTATATTAGTCTTCTTTATGTCATATAGCAGCTATTGGATGCATTTTTCACATGGCTTTCCATCAATGAATGCAGGCCCCGTGATCTCCTTGGTCTGAGCTTGTGTTTTTCAGTGGATCTCAGGCAATCCCTATCAAGGTCTCATGCTCTCCAAAGCTGTCTATTACTTGGTCTCTGAGAAAGGGGAATACTTACATCCTGGATTAAAGTCTCCTTTGAGTTGTTGATCTTGTCCTTGGTACTTTGTCACCTCTGGCATCCTGTGTTGAGGAGAACCATGGGTCAGAGTGGGCTAGGATGTTGTAGCTTGGCCACTCTCCTCTTGTGTGGGAGGCAGAAGGAGGCAGCCGGTGTTGGTAGGGCAGATGGGGTGGAGACTTACTCTACCTCTGCTGTGTGGGTAACCCCACAAGGTGCCTGTTAACTGAAGGACAAGTAGAGTGGGGCCTCTTTTCTCTTCCTCTGCCCACACAGGTGACCTGCCAAATTTCTTTAGTTTCAAGTGAAAGAAAATATGGGGGAAAGACTAAGAAATCTAACAATGATTAGAGGGAGTTGAAAATAATAGAAGATAGAAAATTATCAAAAAATACAATGGCATGTTCTAAAACTTTGGAACTAAATAATAATTTCCTTAAAATGCAAACGGGGAATAAATGAATGCACAAAAACACAAAGATTAAAGTGAAGCTTTAAAAAAAACACAGCGGCTAACCTACAAAAGATTGTAAAGGGAACTGGTAACAGATTTCTGAAGGCTCAAAGTTCTAGAAGAGAATATAGAAGTGTTTTGAAAATCCTTAAGGGACTAAATTTTGATCTATAATTATACACATAAAATATATAGCAAACTACAAATGAAACATAAAATAAGATAGAAGATATTTTCAGATAAAATCCCCAAATGTTTATCTATCACATCACCTTTTATAAAATGCTATGTCAAGATATATTTCTGTAAAATGAGAATATACATGCGGAAGAAAACAGGAAAACTGCTGATGAAACTCAGGAGACTAATTATGGGAAATTAATTAGGTCAAAGGAGCTTAATTAGGGTTTCAGAGGAAGAGAATAATCACAAGACTTAGAGAAGAATATTAAAAGATTTAATACATAAATATAACAACTAAGGTAATCATTTAGTAGATGACATAAACTTCAGCAATTTAAAAGTAATAACATAATGGAAAGACATGCAAGCAGAAACATTTATTCATCTTTCATTTATGTTATATAATCAAAGATATTTAAAATTCCAATGTATTATAAAGGAAACATAAACTAAAATTGTGTGTGTGTATATATATATATATATGCATATACAAACACACTGATATACACATATTGTATATAATTTCTTTATTTTCATTTCTTTCTTCTTTTCTTCAGTTTTCTTTTTTTGATGGATTAGTTTAGCCAGTGGTGAACAATTAGTGGTTTAATAATTAAGTTTTAATCTAGTTTGTTTCCTCAAATACAATACAATATCTAAAATCAGACTGAAGCAAAGTGCACTTATTAATCCTCAGTGATAATCCTCAGTTATAATTTCATGGCACAAAAAGACAAAGGAAAAACAAAGTAAGGTAAGACCAAAAACTGACAGAGGGAATTAGCCCCAGAAAATGGAAAAAGAAAAGAAAATGGAAAATATATTCTTGACCATATACACAAAATTGTCTTGAAAAAGGCACTAGAACTATTATGCCTTGGAACTGTTTAAGAAAAGAAAAGTATGAAAATTATCTGTTGGATCTGCTTTTGTCCTTCATTAGTAAAAGTTGATCCATGGGACATTTATCTCCCTGCACTTTCACATTTCTTAAATTTCCCTCTTATAAGACAGAGTCTTTATCATTCAACTGATTCAGGCCTGCACATAGGCACAGTGATGGCCTATGATTCAATAAAGGTGTATGTGATACTGAAGCCAGGCTTTACCTGAGGGGAAGAGTGAGCCAACCACTGAAGGAGGAAAAGCTACAGCGATGACATTGGTAGCAGGGACTCTTCAGTAAACCAGTACCTTAGGTCTATGAGTTTATGAAAACACTGTGGGAAGAGGAGACACACTAATATGGCTAATACCTTCATTTTGGAAAGGACAAAACACTATGTTCTCTATAGCATAAGTGGCCCATTATTTTAACTGACTTATGCCAGATTGCACCTTTCCCAAGTGAGCTGTGCTGTATGGAGGTCTCACCATGTGAGCTTGCTGCTGGAGGGTTCAGAATTCAGAGTAATTATATCACACTTGGCGACAGAACATGTAGGCTGTTGGTCCTGTACACAGTCTCCATTCCTGACACCATAACCATTCTCCTCTTTGGGTCTTTTCAGAAGCCCTGAAATTCATGAAGAGATAAAGCTGGCTGACATTCACAGTAAAGGCCGTCTTATTCATCTGGCTATTGAGAACCTTAGCTGATGAATATTCTTCAATATGCATTAATATGAAACCAAGAAAACCCATTCAGTTTTAGTACCAACCTACATTGCCTCATCCATATACTTATCTTCTAATTGCCTTGTTCCTGATTTTCCAATCATGTTCCATCCTATGACTAAATTTAGAGACAAGTAACTTACTGGTATTCAGGAATTAAAATATGCCCTAGGTTTGGGCTACTTCTTCCATACAAAGTAGATAAGTAAGAGTACTGTTTGCATCTCTGTCACTGGGAAGGATCTTTCTTAACTACTTTCTTTCAGGGTCATTCCTGTGTGGGAGCAGCCATCCAGTTGTGGCAAGTGTCAAGATATCATGGCAATCAATGAACAAAGTAGACTGTATTTATTCCTTTCCTTCCTTGACTAGTAGTCATAGTGAACTTCATCCAATGAGCCTCAGCTGGATGTTAAATTGAAGGAGAAACATTAGTTAATACCACAGTGATAGATGACTTGAGACATTAGATTTCCTTCTTATGTAATTTATTTCTGTCTTGTGCATTTGTTTCTTCAAGAAACATTTCAATCTTCTACTGAACTGTTCTAGTGAATTGCTCTTACCTGATGTTGTATCATGGGGCCCTTCTCGTCTGATGTGTCCCTTTGACAAAACTTAGTTCCATGAGACATTGTAATGCTCAGAGCCTTTCTCTGTGAATGATTTGGAAGAGGGAATATCTATGAGCTAATAAGGACATAAATGGTTGTCTAGGTATAATGGAGGCCAGTCAAATCCAACTTTATGATGTCATCCTAGAGACTGAGGACTTAGTGACATTAGGATACAAAGCAATAGTAGCTTCAGCCAAAGTTTGATATCCAGCAGATGGTTAAGTTTGGGTGACCATGACTATTTTGGGGAACACAAAAATTGGGTTTGGTGCAAACATAAGAAATTATGATTTTTCACTTGTCTTGTTATTGATATTTGGTTCTTGAGATAACTGTAAGGAGAACAAATAGGAAGAAACTATTTTGTATGTTTTGGTATTTGTTGAATTGTTCTAGAATTTCGTAGTTATCAAATTCATTTTTTTCAAAATAAATCACCAAGTAGAGAGATTTTTGTGCCTCTTTTATTTTACAACATTCAAAATTCAAAAATAATAAATGCTAAATAATCTTTATTCATAAAAAGATACACGCTAATTAAGAAAAAATGATATATTTCTCTTTCTGTGTCATCCCCATCCCAATGTTTTTATTTTGAGGCAAAGTGTTAATGGGTTGGATTCTTGGTGAATGTTATAATATCAACTGACTGAAGCCAACATATGGTATTTAAAGTAATAATTAGTAATGATGCTGCGCATATCCATCATTATTCTTTCTATGCTAAAATATAAAAGGATAATTAAGAAGATAAATATGCTTGCTTTCTTCTAAATTTTTTAAATAGCTCTAACAAGCTTGAATTCAACGATCAAGATCTATTTCCATTACAAAACATTTCCTGTTTTGATTTAGAGCCCATAGTATCAAATACTTTGTTCTTTCTAAAGATACTTACTTAGATCTGTATGAAGTCATTTTGTAAAAATACTACTAAAGTAATATATTTGATGTTAAAAATGAAGGTCACTTTGGAGGTTTCGGTAAACTGCTTCTATACTTCAGGATGCATATACTTTCCTTTTTTGCCCGGCATTTTTTTCCAGTCCTTGATAGTGAAAATATCAGTCAGATGATACTTCTTCTCCAGTCTACCCATCATTATTCAAGCAATTGCCATTATAGTTATTATCCTAATTATCTTCTCATTTTA